AAAAATAGGGAAAAGAGTATTTTTTTTAAAGGTTTGTAAATCTCTTTAGTGTCTGAATTTACAGAGGCATACCTGCTTCTACACTATATCTGTGGAAAATGCTGTTTAAACTTAAGCATATATATATATATATATTCAGTATAAACACAAGATTTTTGGAGCTCTCAATAATTTTTAAGTATTTAAATGGGCCCTGAGACCAAAAAGTGATATTTTGTAGCAAAAGAGTCAGTGTATGTGATGAGCGTAGGGAGAGAATTAAGCCATGACATAATATATATCCCCTCTGCCACAGTTACCCAACTAGTGATTTACAGGAATTTGGCCCATCACAACACAGTTCCCTATGAGTCATTATGGACTCTGTTTACGATCCTGAGTTCTTTTTTTTAAAATTTTTTTCTTTATTTATTATCATCATAATCTTGTTTGTATTACATTGAATCACATATAACTTTACAGTGTATTACATTTCTTTTTCCAGAAGGAATACCGTGCATATCAGTCAATACAGACATTAAAATCCCCATTTCATCATCCAATAGCTTTTCGTTATTTTTCCCGATCATCATTATCATTATTATTACAATTATTTTTTAAACAGTCAATCACTATTTCTCATTTTGCTTGTAAAAAGACTTTACCCAACATGAAATACCTCTCAGACCAATCCAGTTGATAATACTATACAAGTTGTCATCAACAGTTAATAAACCATATCTGTGTCCTACTAATGTCATGCCTCTCTATTTATTCTATTGCTATCTTTCTCTATACTCTTTTTTTCTCTTGCCCCATTCCACACTCTTATCCTCAGTAACTATTTTCACTGCTTTTATGTCCTCCAATATTTCGATCTCTACCATGCAGTGCAGATAGTCAGTATATATTAAGTGGATACATACAATATCTTTCTTTCATATCTTGACTTACTTCACTCAGCAATAGCTACTTCATATCTGACTACTTTCTATCAAATGCCGGGATCTTGTTGTTTATGACTGAATAGTATTCCATAGAGTACATATGCCACATTTTTCAATACACTTGTCTATTTGTTTGTGGACATTTCGGTTGGTTCCATGTCTTGGTGATCATGAATAACGCTGCAGTAAACATTGATGTGCAAGCACTTTTCCGACTGAGCGTTCTCCTATCCTTTGGGCAGATACCCAGAAGTGGGATTACTGAATCAAAGGGTAGTTCTATTTGTAGATCTTTGAGGAACCTCCATATTGTTCTCCACAGTGGCTGAACCAGTTATGATCCTGAGTTCTCTTTCAATGTGCCTTTTTCTTTCAAGTTCACTAATTTATTTCTTCTTAGAGAGAGATTGAGAAGACAGATAGGCACCACCCACAGGGTCTTTATGCCACAATCCATCCCCAAGTAGCCTGGGTCATGGGCATATATGCACCCAGTGTGAACAGGAAGGTCCCAGGATGTAAACCAAGATCGTTCTCTTGTGGATCCAGTTGCATTAATGTGCTGCTCCACCACCTGGTCCCTCAATGTTCCTTTTTGAAAAACACATGTAGTCAAACGCCAGCTGTCTGAGCCACAAAGCTATGATCCAGAATCCAGCAGACCCCCTGTGGAACTCTTATCCTAGTCACAGGTAAAGTAGGCAGGAGGAATAGACATCTTTCTGTCTGACCATGAGTCCTTGTCCACCAGCAGGTTTTCCCCTGATGCTAACCCTTTGTTCTGCAGGAGATTGTTGGTCGTCGACACAGGACCGTGTGTTCCCCTGCCATCTGCTCCTGCCCTTGTCTCATTCACCAGCATGCTGCTCCAGCAGCCCAGTAGAGACTGTAGGAAAATAAACCCTTAACAGTCCCTTTTTCACTAGATGCTGCTCTAGCAGTCAAATGGGAGTGGCAGAGAATCAGTGGTAGTCTGCTTTTTTATAGATATAGCATCTGCTTGCCACAGTCTTGTATTGTTGAGAGATGGAAAGCTGACCATATTACCAGGTTCTCTGCGTAATTGATGAACCTCAAAGAAACAGAAGAATATGTGAGTTCAGTAATGTGTAAAATACATTTTACTGGGGGTGATTTTAGAATTATTTATTTCTCCAAACAATAGAAATAATATATGGCTAATGCAAAAAAAAATTTTAATGTGAGAAAATATTTTATTTATAGGAGAAATAGAAGCACTTTTAAAAACCCACTCTACATAATACTATTAATTTAGAATTTGGCACAAGCCTATCTCTGTAGCCCAGCGGTTAAGAGCTATACATTAGAAGCCAAATCCAACATGGCCAACCACAGTTTGAATCCTGGCTCTGGCAGTTTGAAAAACACCCGGGACACGTGTGTGTACATGCCACAAATCCTGACAGAATAGAAAAATGATGGGGAAAGGATTGCAGCACTCCATTGGGAGGAGTTTTCTTGCTTTCTCTCTCTTTATCTCTCTGGTAGTGAACACACCCTCTGGCAATTTAAAAAGAAAAGAATTTGGGACATGATTCTCCAGGTTTTTAATCTGTGAATGTATATAAATAAATATATAAATTACTAATAGAAGAACATCATTTTATATCCTACTTTTTCTCCCATCACAAACATCTTCATATATCCACATCCACATTTTAAAGGCTGTGTACTATTTCATGGCATGAATGAATGATAAGGTATTGATCTCCTATTGTTGGATATCTAGGTGACTTAGAATGGAGATGTTTAAATATTTTAAAGAAGTTTTTGGGACCAGAGCTCTAAAGCTTAGGCATCTGGTACCAGTGCACGGTCAAGAGACCCTCCAGGAAAGTGACAAAGCAGTCCCAGGCCCCAAGATTAGCAAGGGGAAAAAAAAGTGACCACCATTCCTTTCTGGACTTTTCATTAGATGACGCAGGGCAAACCTTCATCACAGCCTTTGCCTGTGTTCCCCACCACAACAGAGCGATGAAGCTCTCCTGAGATTAACTGAGAGGTAACGGAGCTATGAGGGGCAAAGTCACACTTCCTCCCAGAGCCCCATTGCAGACAGAGCTGTCACTCTGTGGTGGGTATAGTGCTCTGCCTACAAAAGACATGATGCCTCAATGATAGCTCTAAATATGCCAAGTTTGTATTGTCATCCTTCTACCAATGCCAGGAAAACTAAACCTCAGGACCTGGCCAATGCCCCAGCCCCACTCCAGCCCTGTGGCTATCAGGGCCCGAAGTCTCGAGCAAGCCAAACATTGTGGGGGAGAAAGGGAGGAGGTAGGGTTCCAGGTGCTGAGGAGGTGTCCACACCAGTGATTTCTGAGATTCCCATGTTCTCATTTCCTCCGGGCTACCCTTGTGCATGGGACTCTTTTTCAAGGCTGCCTGCGGCCACCCAACCCTGGATCCCTGGGTTCTATGGCTTTGAGATCCACAACCTCTAGTCTCAAAGAAGAAATTCCATGGGGGATGCAGAGGGCTCCTAAGCCTTCCTGTTCTCCCAAAGTAAAACCTTCCTTCTTCCTCCTGTCCAAACCCCAGGGCCTGGGCTTCGTGAGATCCTTTGGAAGGAAGGAATTGTTGCAAGTACTGTAACTTATATTTTCTCCCCACTGCAGACCCTGTTCAGACAAAGGAGCACAGAGCTGCCTCCATGTGAATGGAGAAAGGGGCAAGATTCAGAGAGAGGGAAAGTGAAAATCCAAGCTATTGTCTTGCCATAGTCATCCTCAGCAAATCTAGGTCCTTATGGATACACTTTCCCACCCAGACCTGTTACACGCACCCCTGTAGGTCCCAATAACAAAAATAAACAAATAAATAAATAAATAAAGGGTCAGTCCACATCTCTCTCCTAGTTCTCATTTTCTTAGGTTCTCATAGGCAGAGCCACCTCTTATACCTCCTTGGAGGTCACTTCGCCAGGCCTCTGGGAAGCAGGCAGGCTTGTCTGCTCTAGGCAAGCACTTGGTCTTTCCTAAGCATGTCTCTTCTTGAAGATGACCCTCTCTTCAGCTCTCGTCCTACCCTTCCCAGGGCTCAGACAAGCTCTTGCTTGGAGCTTCTAGAGGTGTGCATTGACCTGAGAGTAGAATGGGAACCCTTCCCTGGGTACACTCTAAGTCCTGCCTTGTCCCTTACCCTTCCTTTCTACTTCTTGTCTCCCTTTGCTCCTTAGACTTTGGCCACACTGGCAAGTTTTCTGCACCTGACCTTGCCATGTCTTTTCCACCTGAACAACTTTCTTCCCTTCCAGGTCACTGTGAGTTCCTTTGTGCAGAGGGGTCAACTTTGGTCACAGCTGGGAGGTAGCCTCCCCACCATCACCTTTTTTATTTCCATCATAGCATTTACCAAGGATCTCTACCTTGTTTGGTTTCCTGTTAGTTCATCTGCTAACCACCATCCCATAGATGGAAAGTGAACTTTGTGAGGATTGGGGGTGGCTCACTTTAGTTGTACTATGCTCTCATCTTCCAAAACAGCACCTGCTCACAGTAAAGATGTAATAACTGTGAATGAGCAAGGGAGTGAATGGACGGGAGGAAAAAAATCCTTCTCCATCCATGTCTAGTCTGAAAATAAGAAAATACTCTGATCTTTCTTCTTCCTTCTCTGAAAACCCTCTGAGATACCTCAACGCTTTGGAAATCAAAGATAAGGAAAGGAAGTTCCTTTTGGTAAAGGCAACTTCTACTCTTCTTTCAGCAGAAAAACCTCACCTGAAGAGAAGAAAGGGAACTAGCTTGTTATTTTTGTGAGTAGAAGAGGGGGTTACTGGGAAGGAAGAAGGGAAAGGGAAAATTCATGCAGGAAATAACCAGGGCTAATTTCTGAAGCAGCTGCCCACCACACCTTGACTGAAGGTGTTATTACCAGTGGTTCCTGCTGGCTCTGCAGGGTGGAAAGCTGACTGTCTTTCACACAGAGGAGTTGGCGTCAGCTCAATTAGCAGGACGGCCTGGTTCCTGCTCCTGGACTCCTGTCTAAACAGGAGTGCCCTCAGGCAGCCACAGGGCGGGGGCGTCTGCAGTGGCAGCCCAATCCCGCCAGACCAATGATGGGGAAGCTTTGCTCCTTCTTAAGCTCTAACAGTTCAAGCTGGGGCTAGAAAGCCAGCCAGCCAGCCACCCCTCCAGATCCTTGCCTGTCATTGCAGAGCTGAGACAAGGGGCCCAGCCTACAGCCAGAGCTCAGGAGCAGAGCCTAGCCACCCTGCCACACCCCCAGGCCCCAGCATGGCCGAGCAGCTGACTGAGGAGCAGGTGGCCGAATTCAAGGAGGCTTTCTCCCTGTTTGATAAAGATGGGGATGGTTGTATCACCACTCGGGAACTGGGCACTGTCATGCGGTCCCTGGGCCAGAACCCCACCGAAGCTGAGCTCCAGGAAATGGTGAGCGAGATTGACCAGGATGGCAATGGCACTGTGGACTTCCCCGAGTTCCTGGGCATGATGGCCAAGAAGATGAAGGACACAGACAGCGAGGAAGAGATTCGTGATGCCTTTCGAGTGTTTGACAAGGATGGCAACGGCTATGTCAGTGCTGCTGAGCTGAGGCATGTGATGACCAGGTTGGGGGAGAAGCTGAGCGACGAGGAGGTAGATGAGATGATCCGGGCTGCAGACACAGATGGAGACGGGCAGGTGAACTATGAGGAGTTTGTCCGCATGTTGGTGTCCAAATGAGGCCAGAGCCTGTGCTGCTCCTGGGCTACACACCTGGCCAGGCAGGTGGCCTTATGCTGCATGCCGCTAGGACCTCAAACCTCCTGTTTCTACCTGCACCTCCAGTTTCCTCTGGGTACTATTGCTTTGGCAAAGTAGATTCAGTCACCTTCCTGCCTTTCCCTGTCTGCACCTCTCTTTTTGCCAACTTTTCACCTGCTCTTCTTAATTGATGCAGAAGCACCCAAGCTTAGCAAATCGTGAAATCCTCCCACCATTCAGCAGTAGAAGCCGAAGTGACGTTATTGCATGTGGACATTAAACCAAGAAACCAGTCAAGGTTGTTCTGGCTCTGCTGTCTACCCAGATGGGCACAGGGTGACATCTTAGAGCCCCTTCAGCAGAGTCCCTGAGGGACACCCAATAACCTGGACAGGGAGGCTGGATCCACAGACTACTGCCAGAATTCCTGGAGCCCTTGGGGTGCAGGCCTCTTCTGCTGTCAGATTCAGGAGGGTGGGAGACATCTCGGTGCTGGGGCAAAGGAAGAGGACTTTGATAGCAGAGGCCAGACCTCCTGAAAACCTTTTGTTCTGCATGGCATTTGCTTGCTCCATTCTGTCTTCACCAACCCACCGTGACTCATCTTTTGAAGCTGGGAGTAAAACTGGGGTCAGTCATAACATGTTTGTATTCATCAGGAAGGAGCAATATGTGAATGAGAGGGAAAGGGGCGCTTAAAGAGGAATAAAGAGACTGTTTTGTTTCCTTTCTTCTGGTTCTGACAAATTATCCTTATTATGTCCAGGGTTGGTTGTTGTTTCTGTTTGTTTGTTTTGTTTTTTTGTTTGTTTGTTTTTTGGGTTTTTTTTTTTTTTAGAGAGATTTTTGCTGTAAGGCATGTCCACTCACTAGAGAGACAGAGAGACAGAAATTGAGAAATCACCCTCCAGGGGGAATAGCCACGCTGTAATCTCTTCTTCTCCATTCTCCTCTTGGGATTTTGGCCATGCACGCACGTGTACCCAGCATGAGTTTTAAGCCACTGAGTCTGGGACTTGAACTGCAGTCTGCTATGTGGGAATCCAGCAACGTAACTGTTACACTATCTGCTGGTCCCTGTACAGAGTTTAAATGAGGTTAGAATCTCCATTTTTGTGCTTTTGGAAACACAATGAATTCCTGTATTGGTGGGTATAAACAAAACAAGTGGGAAATTTGGATAAGGTAAATCTGAATATTTGTTTTCAATAAAATGGATGATCCGGTAGCAAAGAGTGGCTAAAGATCCATATAGAGCTCCTAAAAGAATTGAACTGATTAGAATTGAGGAAGAGTTCTGACGGTTGGTTGTATTCCTCCTCTAGTCACTCCTGCTGTAAGGCATGTCCACTCACTAGAGAGACAGAGAGACAGAAATTGAGAAATCACCCTCCAGGGGGAATAGCCACGCTGTAATCTCTTCTTCTCCATTCTCCTCTTGGGATTTTGGCCATGCACGCACGTGTACCCAGCATGAGTTTTAAGCCACTGAGTCTGGGACTTGAACTGCAGTCTGCTATGTGGGAATCCAGCAACGTAACTGTTACACTATCTGCTGGTCCCTGTACAGGGTTTAAATGAGGTTAGAATCTCCATTTTTGTGCTTTTGGAAACACAATGAATTCCTGTATTGGTGGGTATAAACAAAACAAGTGGGAAATTTGGATAAGGTAAATCTGAATATTTGTTTTCAATAAAATGGATGATCCGGTAGCAAAGAGTGGCTAAAGATCCATATAGAGCTCCTAAAAGAATTGAACTGATTAGAATTGAGGAAGAGTTCTGACGGTTGGTTGTATTCCTCCTCTAGTCACTCCCTGATTGCTGTGAAGTACGTAGCGATGAGAAGATAGTGCGGGTTAGGGGTTCTGACTGCAAAAGTGATTCAGAGACTGAGTCCTGCACACCACCTGTAACACCCAGAGGTCAGATCAGCTCATGCAGAAGTGAAAGTGGCTTTGTCAGAGATCATACTGTTTCCAAAGGGGAGCAGTGTTTTATGAGATGGACACAAACAGGCCCATCAGAAATAACCAGTCTTGGCTAAGTCTTTTATCCCTGACACTCCCACCTCCAGGAATTCCTCACTTGTAAACAAAGAGCACTGACTCGGGGAGGACAGACAAGGATTCCAACTCTGGCCCTGACCCTCCATGATGGGAGCCACAGTTCTCAGCACCTGGCCTACCTACAAACTCACTGCACTCTATGGGGCAGCTACCATTATTCTCTTCATCTTCCAAATAAGGAAGCTGAGACACAGAGTCTATGAATCAGCCCAGTGTCCCACGGCTGTGAGCAAGGGGCCAAGCTGAGATTTGGTGCATGTTGGTGCCCCACCCACTGCCGCTACATGCCTCTCATGCACCCTCAGCCTGCACCGGGTGATTAGAATGGTGCCTCCTTCAAGTACCTGACATGCAGAAGGTGAGTAATAAAGAGCTACCATGACTACCACCATGAAAGAACCCTTCCAGCTCTAACAGGCAGTGAGGCTGGGCAATATTCTCCCACCCTTCCAAACTGTTGAGATAGGGGACAAGACAGGGACAGGGAAGGACTACAGAAGGTTCTCCTATGCCATCTCGGGGTTTGATTTCTTCTTAGTTTAGTTGCTTCTTTCTGTCTTTCAAGCTATTCAAGCAGGAACAGCTCTTTTCTTTTTTCTTTGTGTTTTTTAATTTGGAATTTATTTACTCCATGAGAAGAGTCATAGAAAGACAGCACTCCCAGCAGGATCCCAGTGCCATGATCCACTTGCAGCGCATTGTATGCCCAGCGCATTCAGAAAGGTCTCCAAATACAAAGCCAGAACCTTCCCATATAGGTCATGCTCACAGAGCGTCAATTTTACCCCTGCACCACTGTCTCACCACACTTGGGACTTTATTTCTGAGAGGACGCTAATGGTAGATCTCAAGTGAGCACTAGCCCTCGTGCCAGTGTAATTGTACATCCTCCTGCCTGGGGAATAGAAGAGGAAGACTAAGCTCCCAGACAGCAGGGCTTGTCAGGGAGTTAGCCCGTCTGGCCGGCTAGGCTGCTGCCCTCCGGAGTTGAGGCAGGTTGAACACTTCCTGCTGGACACTTGGGAAGGAGCCTTATAAGTGCGAAGGCAGAGCACCCAGTGGGCAATGGACAGCAGCTCCCTGGGGGAAGAGGGTATGAGCAGCAAAGCCAAGACAGCGGCCACAACGTGAATCACAGTGCCACCTGCCAAAGGGACATGACGTCACCACCAGGGACAAACACAACCCAGATCTTAGCATCCTAAATCCTTTAGGAATTAGACAAGCAGAGATCTCCCTTCATGAGGAGTTTCCTATAGTCTCCAACATGGATGTGGATGGAGGTTTGACATTTAATCTCCCTCCTTCAAGGTGTGGGCTTAAGCCAGTTCCTGCAAAGATTGAGGGCTCCATGCTATGCAGATGCCTCAGCTAGAAGGGGATGAAGGTGTTTATCCTGTGTATCTTCCTCCCAGCCTCCCAGCAGATCAGCCAGATAAGATCCCTTGGTAATCCTTCACATTGCCCTGGAACCTCCTAGGCCCCTGTTTTATGGCCATTAGGAGTCTTTCATCGAGAACATTCTGTGCCCAGGCAGGAACAAGCTGGTGTGGTGGGAAGTTCCCCTTGTTCTCAGCTAAGAGCTGACAGCCCCTGGTCCTCCCTGAGATCCTTGGCAGAAGCAGAATAGTAATAAATGAAGCTTTCTTTTTCCTGCAGATAGAAGCCTAAGGTAGCAAGGTCAAAGGGGACCTTGCAGTGACACTGCATGTGCCCCTTGGTGTTTATGCTCCTGAACACAATTTTAAATTTTGTTTATTTATTTATTTCATGCACAAGAGAAACAAAGACAGAGAGAGAGAGAGAGAGAGAGAGAGAGGCAGCACCCCAACAGGGTCTTGACACCTTGATTCCACCTCCAGCTTCACCTGGTCCCAGATCATGGGCACACGCACTCCGAGCACATTCAGGTAGGTCTCAGATGCAAACAAAGAACCTTCTCATATGGTTTGGCCTCACAAAACATCACATCTTACCACTGGACCACCATCTGGCCCCTTGAGCACAAGAACACAACTTTTTAAGCATATCTTCCATGATCCTTTCTTACTGAAACAGGAACAACAGCTGAACCTCTGGGTTGGGTGAAGAGATGCCTGACCCAGAGGGCGACACTGTTAGGCCAATGCTGTCTGAGTCTGGTCACCCCAGCCCTGCTGTGAGGGACATGAAGTCCTGGGGGCTCCCTACAGTGGCCAGTGGATCCAAAATTCACTGCATGATTGTGGGTCTCTTCCTGTGGAAGAGGACTGGCAGGGCCAGCCTCCACAGCTGGATGTTAGACATCACACAGCAGCTGCAGCATCTAGGCCTACCTGGGCACACCTGTGCCTGTCTTCAGCCTCCTTTCCCTCCCAGTTTATTTTCTCCTCCTCACCTTGGCCAGAGCCTCCCAGAAGCCTATCCTGTCCCAGACACCAAGATGAACTTTTCTGTTTGTGAGATGTGGTGAGAGGGTGAGATGTGGTCACTGTTAATGCCAGGAAGAGGCCTGGGGGCTGCAGCAGCAGGAGGAGCCCCCACATAGTCGCTAGAACATGCTAGGGCTGCAGATCAAACCTCCTCACTGGTGTTCTTCTGCAACAGCCTTTAAGGTAACCGCCTAACACTTCCCTTTCCTTTCAATAATTAAATAGTTAGATTTAAACAACCTCCCCTCATCCCCCAAAAAGGGACTATCTGACTGTAGCTCTGAGGAACATTCCATCCATCCTTGGGGGAAGGAATTTATAAATATCACCTCGGTCTACATGTGCTTTCTCTGAGCTCTGTCATAAATCAGGACTAGAGCTCCTGCACTCCCAGACTATATAAAGCATGCCTCTGCCTCCTGCGTTTCCAATTTTAAACCCAACCCAGCCCAGTCTTGCTGGCTCCTCTTTATCCTCACAGATTCTAGGGCCTGTTTAAAGCCCCCTAAACCAGCCAGCTGGAAAAGAAGGACCCATGGTTCCCACTGGAGAAATGTAATATCAAAACCCACCTATGGGGTGAGTGTCCCATGAAGAAAGAAAGCAATGTGAGGTATGTTTGCCACCAAAAACACCAAGAAAAGCTAAAAATGGTGTCTGAGAAAAGTTTGGGCCCAACCCACCTGTCAAATTCCCCATCATCCTATTTTTCTGGGGGTCATTTCTATAGCAACAGGCTCTCAGATCAGTGTCTGGACTGAGCAAGAAGGCAAGGAGCTAAGACTGGAACATCTAGAAAAGCCTGCCTGAGCCCTTCCACCAGGGGCAAGACTGGGAGCTGGGTTCTGGGTGCTAGGTTCCAAGTGCTGGGAGCTAGGTACTGGGTGCTAAGTGCTGAGTACTGGTTGCTGGGTGCTAGATGCTGAGTGGAATGGGGCACCTTGCTCAAATTGCAGAGAAGGGAAAGTTTTGAAATATACCTAGAAGTGATGGTGGGGATTCCAAAACCAGAGGATTGAAAGGACACAGTTGAACCACCAGTCATGGACACTTTCAGTCCCCTAATCACCTTCCCAGGGTCTTTGGTTTCTTTCTAACACACTTAGAACTACCCAGTGTGGGAAAGGAGCCAGGCATTTAGTACAGAAGGCAGCATCTAAAAACTGAACATTAGAAAGGCCCAGGCCATCTGAGACAGTTACCTGGGCTACCCTGAAAACTTGGGGA